TAAAATAGTTTCTACTACAAGACACGATTCGAAACACAAAAACTTACCTTGAAGATTGTTGAGAACAATTCCATACAAGCCCGCTCTACTCTCTGTTAGAAAATCTCCTAAATTGCTCATTATTTTATAAACACTGTACAGTTTTATTTATGAAATTCACTATTTCGAGTTCGAACCGAAATCACACCACTTTTCAAACCGGGTACCTACGCCAACACCTGTGTAGTGTGTGGTTATAAAACCGGTGAACGATCCGTTCCCGCGAGATTTGGCAAGAGAAGCTTGTTCTACTGCCGTTGCGTGATGGGATCACTCGATCGCGTTCAAGAATACCAATATTCGCTTCACGAGAGAACCACGCCCTTCTTTCTCATGTGATCGCCGTTCCCAGTTTCGAGAATTGGGCTCCAGGTGATTGCAGAAAGGCCTTTGCATCCTGAAAAAGTGACCGTATGGTGTGCATTATAGTTCGGTGGTGTTATTGCCCCGTATTTTTTTGAAAACGATCAAGGAAGAGCCATAACAGTCAATTCTGAGCGCTATGAACGCATGTTAACCGATTATGTTTGTAAAGAAATTGAAGATTATGATCTGGAAGACATGTCGTTGCAGTAGGATGGAGCAACGAGTCACAGAACGCTGGCATTTATAGCCCAATTGCAAGATAAATTTCCAGGGCGCGTAATTTCGAGATTGAGTGATGTCAATTGGCCCCCAAGATCCGGCGACTTAACACCGTTAGACATCTTTTTGTGGGGCTATGCGAAAGATCGTCTTTAGTGCAACAATTCTCAAACTCTTGAGCAACTGAAAGCCAATATCCGTGAAGTTATGAACTAGATATTACCGGTAATGTGCCGAAAAGTTATTCAAAATTATCTCAAAAGGATTGAGGCCTGTAGGAGGTCCCGTGGAGGACATTTAAATTATATTGTGTCACGTATAATGACAAAGTTTAATCTTTATATTGAATCAAAATTTTCGTCTCCATCTGAATATTTTATGTGTTCTTTTTTTACTTTACTTTTCCAAGCATAAAATGGATAACCCTGTACATTTTTCGTACAAGTAGGCTGCAAAGTCCAGTCATTTTCATGCGTAAATGTTACGTGAATTGCAGTGTTAATTATAGCTTTTCGGTGTGGCACTACTAGGCGAGAGCATGGGTATTTCTTGATAGGTAATTCTAAGTATGTTAAAGAAGTTAATTTATTAAGAGTATCAGTTGGAATAATTTATTCCCAATCAAATTAGTAAATGAAGTTGCAGCAAAAATCGTTCGCTACTTTATTGTCTCGCTTTTTCCATTAATAACTAAGAACTAAACTAATCAATATTTAGACTTTTAGAAATGGCTGAAAGAATCCAAACCTAATTGGGATTTCAATTATTGATTTAAAATGTTTCGAAAAATAATAAAATATTTACTTACCAATGGAGTGGTTTCCACAAGCAAACTAATCCCCACGAAAATAACAGCTCTTATCCACAACATGTTGATATTTACTCTTCTTAATTGTGTTCATAACTAAACTTTGAGAGACTTTTCCCTGTATTTTGTCAGTCACATTTGTACAAATTTTGCATTTCACAGCACCGTATTATGTCATTTTTGTTTGAAAACACTTTTTTGTGATATTCAACAACAGTTAGCAAGATCTAGAAAAATCAAACAGTAGCAGCCTTGAAGCAAAAATATTTTTTCTAGATCAGATAATTCAATAAAATGGTTATTTCTTTACAACGAAATAAGTTTTTTTTATTATTGCACTTATCAAATATAAAGGTCCAGTCCTGCATCATAAATTCGGCAAATTCGAAGATATCTAAAACACTCAATCAATCATCCATTCGTTACAAGTTGTTTCGGAGTGCTCGAGGAGCTCAGTCAACACGTTTAAACAATCATGTTGATCCTTAATTGGAAAGTGTGGATTATATACTTCCTGTCCATATTGTAAATCTCATCTTATTTTATTTTTCGGGCTCAATGTTTCATTTATTTACGTCGATTAGGCTATTAATTTTTGCCAATCAAATGAGATATTTTTTTGTAATAGAAAATGAAATGCTTCCTTCCATATTAATTTTTGTTTCAGGTTTGAAATAAATTTGATTAGAAAATCATTTTTTGGAAATGGCTAAATTTACGTTTAAAGCTCGAGTTGTTAAATGTATGTAAATTATTCGGAATTACTTTTTTCCACTAATGATTTATCGCGCTGTTTGCAGAATGTGAATGTGCAAAATTTTTTCAATTAATTAGTTATCAACTTTTATCCAGTATCAAGTAATACGTGGTTTATTAAGTTTTTCCAACTGAAACCAAATAATAGTTATTTATGTAACCATTAGGATATGAACATTATAATGCACGCATGTGAAGATTTGCACAACGAGGCTGTAGGCCGAGTCGCATAATCACATAAATGTGTTAATAATATAATATCCTACGTGTTACGTACAATATTTTATCTACCACTATAACGATTATTATTTTAATGATTATTTGAGTAAAATAATTAGTTATAAAATTGAATACAGAACACCGGTAATGAACATTTGCCATTGTCGTCAGAATCATGGTCCAAGTTGTATTTTGAAAATACAAATTTTTTAATGAGTTCGAGCGATGGTCTGTCATCTCATGTTGAAAACGAAGCTTTTAATGTTGTTTCGGATCTTGTGCCAGGGAAACTACAGAAGAAATACTAAGCTTTTGATCGGTACCAGAAATCGTGCAGCGAACGAAAGATTCTCAACTTAACAAGCGAGAAAGTATTATTAGTTAATATATTTTAACAAAGTGAGCAGAATACATAAACCCTCAACCCTTTGGGGCTCGAAGTTCTTTATGTGTGTATCTTTCGTTCACTGTACCATTTCTGGTACCGATCAAAGAAAGCTTCTTGGTATTTATTTCTTCCGTGATTTATCTGGCACAAGATTCGAGAAAACATTAAAAGCTTAGTTCTCAATATCAGATGGCAAATCAAGCCTTGAACTTATTTTGAAATGTGCAATTTTAAGACACAACTTTGACAATGATCGACATATTTATTACCGTACTAGTACAATAATAAGCATCATTATAACATTTGAAAGAGTGCCAAATCATAGTCATTAAGTAACAGTTGTCGATAAAGATAAAAATAGTCCAAAATCTTTATAATTGTTAACATTACAGCGCGAAGGATAGAGTTTCGAATTCACTTCACTCATTTTGCTCGCTTTCAGTTCTTGAAGATTTCAAGATTTATTTACATACACTTTGCTTATTTAAAGACTCATTCAAGAAACATTTTTGAAGAAATTCTATTATGTCGACCTATTTGTAAAAAAAACCATGAAATGTCATAATTATGGCTCGGATAAAAAGGCACAAAAAAATCTGATATCTTAAAAAACCATATAATTTGAACATAAAAAGCATGTTAAAAGCACAAAAATATTTAAAAAGAACAGAAAAGCATCACACTCCTAAAGCTATGGTAAAATTAAGGGCTTAGTAACATGAAACAAACACTAAAAAATCATATAACCTGACCTACCGCAACACATATAATGGCATAACATCACTAATGGCGCGAATGTTCAGCATTGATAAACTCACTCAGTGCCTCTTTAGGTGTGATGTTTTTTTTTTCTTTGGCTTAGTGTTGGATGTATCGATTTTATTATATTTTTGTTTTGTTTCATTTTACTTTATTGTTAATTTTAATTTAATTTTAGTTTAGGATTGTGATTGTGTCCCAAAGACTATCAACTTTAAAACTACTACAAACTATCAAAAGAGGCATAATTTCCTAAATTATTATTAACATTCATCGTTTTGGCTCCTAAACTATTCATTACCAAAAATTGTGCCGTCTGTTTTAAACATTATTATTATAAACAACGACAACCGAAGTTGTAAAATGACTCTTGGTTTGCGGTAAATTATGAACTGACGTGGTGTCGAAACTAATCTAATAAGTGTATGCACTTATATATCGGTATTTATATGATTGCTTTCAAACGCAACTGAAGAACTGTGTTTAAAAACCCTGAATTCTGAACTCACCAAAGAAGCGATTTTATGGTTTCATTGGTAGGTATATTTAATTCGTTGTTTAGTTTCTGTTCGCTCTAATGATGCGAAAAAAGTGTATTTACAAAACCTTAATGAAAAAAAGGTGCTTTATAATTATTTGAATTTTTTTCATATATTTTTTTAAATTGTTTAAGTACCCCTGGCAAGAGCGCCAAAGCAAACAGGCCCATTTTGCATCACCCTATGAAAATCTTAAGATTCCAACTGCCTTCCAGCTGAACTACATTCATTAGCAAATGAAACAGGGCCCAATAAATAAAACAGCAATTAAGTTTTGTGACTTGCGAGCAATTTAATCAGGAAACGTTAGAACTCTAGGACTTTATGTAGTTTAATTTTGAAGCGGTTCTTCTCGAAATTGTTCGTTTGCACCTGCGGCATTTAGCAGTATATTTTAGACTTAGGTAAATACTCTCCAAATTGCATTGTTCAATGATGTGACACCTTGTTAACTTTATTACTGGTAACGAGGGGAAAATGTCGGTTATTTTCAGACCGGCTACATATCAGAGTGGGGACGCAAATTGTTATACAAGTAAAATAAAATTGGTAAAATGTTCATGAACATTATTGCACTGAGCTAACAAAATGGAACATCTTAATCAGAATAAAGATGTTCTGATTAAGATGTACCATTTCTGCCATTGGTTTAGACGTAATTTGAGAATAACTTTGTACAATCATTCATTGGCATCGAATACAAATTAGCTTTAACAAAAAGTGTTCAATGCTTTTCATATTTATATTTAACTCAATTTAGCTTAGTAAAATATATTTGTATCAAATGTTACGTATTTTCGGTACTGTAGCTGGGTTTCATTCAGTAGCAAATAGATAAATATATCTGTAGTTTCAAGTGTTGTACGTTCGATACAATATTGAATTAATCGAGAATTGGTTGTGCAACACGACAAATTTCGGACAGAACAAAAGAATAAAAATCAACCTTTAATGAAAACTATTTAATTAAGACAACGATTTAAATGACAATTTAATAGAGAGAGAGAAAGAGAGAAAAAAAGGGTTTCCCTTGAGCGGGTATATCGGGCGGTCGTGTGCAAAACTCGAAGGGTAAGTTCGTTTGAGCGCCACTAGCTTTTGCAGGAAAGCTAGAACACTCAGCGATGGAAGGCTGCCGACATACTACTGCATACTGCCTACTCAATTCTTTTACCGTGATAGTACATAAACTGACTTGAACGATGATACAAATAAGGAAAATGGTGAGCTTGATAAAGAACAAGAAAACGTGGTTTGACGACCACAAACTACCGTCTGCTAACCGATCATAATACACAGCCAATAGCAATAAGCCCAAACACCAGCAAGTCTCTGAAGTCGCCGCCACGTGCTGTCGATGCCTACGTGCTAGGTCCAGATCTCATCCAGACCGTCCACAATTTCAGTGAGTCAATATCCCCAGTCGGGAACCAGGAGGCCGCTGATTGCCCTTCGCTCGGTGACCTTCTGGGTCCACTCCTGGTCCCTTCCCATCAATAACGGTGGTCCGTGAAGGTGGGGCAACCACCACATTGCCAGACAAACCCATAATAAAAACTGCTGATGTTTGGGAGAGAGACACAAATATCCAAACATCAAAATTCAAATAATCCCCAAAATATTACTAACCTAATCTGACAAACGTGCTTACTAAATCCAAGTTACAAATGAAAATCGGTTGACAAAAATAGCTTATTACTACATACATTTGAACAACGGGTTAGCAGACAGGTGAACCATTGGCTAAATTCCATTTTTAACTTTTACAATTGATTATGACACTATTATAATATTCTGGTATAATAAATATGGTATGAGAAGCCTACGCTGTAAAAAAGATGGAAAGATGCATACGAAAACGTTTCATTTCGTTATAATCATTTGGAATAAAACACGTTATCCAAATTATATGGCGAACCAATTCTGAGATTCATGTGAAATATTCAACCCGATCCGAATGACAAGTGGAAATGTTTTACGTTTTCATAGTAATTTAATGTAGGAACAGGAAATTAGTAGTTACGGTGGAAAGATTAGGTACATGATTTGTCGAAACCGTAGTATTGTTTTCTCAAGTTAAAAATGTTCCTAAAGTGCTCATGAAATAACAAATATATAATTTAAGCTAATTCGATTGATTTCGATTCGAATAAGTTTTTTCGATGCCTAGTACAGGTATTTTGGAAACTTATACTTCCAATTGGAAGGCCAATACACCCATGCTAAATAAATTAGGGGTTAGCAATTAAAGTAAGAAAGTTAGGTTTTAGTTTTCGTACACCGTATATATCATGTATATAGCTAGCTGGAGGGCTAAGAGTATTTTACATGGTTTCGGCATGACTCCTTATGCCCGAACGAAAATTTGAAGTTTCTAAAACAGCAAGGCGTTGGAAAACTTCTAATACACGATCTACGAAAGTGACCCCTGTATATATACAAATTATAATTAAAAAACCATCCAACCATAAAATATTGTATCAATTTGATTTAAATGCAGGTTTATTGTGGTCCCGTCCAATTAACGTGCACGTAATTTCCACGTAAATATTGGGATGATTTGTGGTTTACAACGTTATTCGCTTAATAATGACAATTCGATAACGTCACTTTTGTCACGTCATCGAAACATTAGTGAACAAACGTTATAACCACATTACTTTTCCGCTTATATTTATCGAGTAAGGTCTTAATTGTAAGCAACATTGTTTTAACAATACATACTGCATGGCCACTCAATAGTAGCCATATGAAAAAGTGTTATGGAGTTTAGTAATCAAACTTTTCATTGGAAAACCTGCGAGGCTACTCACTGAAGTGATCACTCCAGCTGATCACCCTCAGAAGCCCTCCCCTGCACCATCTAGGCTTGATTGAAGTTAAGGTATCCATAGGATAAGGGTGTTACCAAAAATATTCCAGTGATACACTGCTCGAATTACTTTCCCTTTCTTAAGCTAATCGTTATCAAAGTCAAACCTTATTCGCTCTGTTATAAAGTTGTCCATTGAGCGTTCAAAGTCGTCTAACGAGATAATTACCATTTCGTTATAAATAAAATTCATAACATGTTTGACATATTTTCTCTAAAAAACCTTGGATTTTAATATTTAGCTGTGCATACTAAAACATTAGTTCCATAAGAGTTCCATAAAACATAAGTTCCATAAGTTTCCAAAAAATCCATATTAATCGTTGCGAAAAATAAATATGAGTCAAAATATAAAAACCGTGCTGTGTGCCTCAGTGTTATGATGGGCCTTCAAGACGGTAATTACGGTATAATTATGGCTTAAAACCTCGCAAAAATGGTATGTTAGTGTTTAAATGAAATACATTTTATTACTTTATTATTTCGTCTTCTATACATACAGGTGATGCCGCTGTTCTAAACTTGAAGCATTGTAGACGCTATGATCACGTGAGAAAACCACACACGAAAAGTTTTCGCATAAGACACGGCAAAAATCTAAAGGTATGTTGGTGTTTAAATTAAATACATTTGATGTATTTCGCTGTTGTGGACTTGAAGCATTGATGATGCTAGGGATCACCAGCTCTCCAGATCCAGTAAGAAAACCACACACGAAAAATTTTCGCATAAGAGACAAGTAAGGTTGTCTGATCCTAATTACTCTTCTGTTAATATAAAACTATTATCAGTATTTTTTTAATTTTTACCAGTTTGATTTTGGTTGATTTCTATTTTGAGATAAGCATATTTTCTTGGATTGAAGGAAAGCAACAAAAGTAAAATGAAAGTAATGTATCAATGCAAATTGCTATACCTAACTGTATTTCTACACAATAGAATAATCTGTGGATGAACGAAAATACTCGTCTATCAATGTAAAACTATTAACTGTATTTTGTTGTTGTGACCAATATTCAAATTTGTAATTGCTTATAGAATTTTTGTTAAGAGCATATTGCGAAACA